ATTTTTTGAATAATAATCTCTGTCTGACTACATTGAGATCACAAGTTTTGTAAAAATAGTGCTGTAGACTGTAGGGCTATCTATCTAATTAGTTAAAAAACATCTCAATTTATTCCCTTCATGTGAGCTGCAAATGAAATTTTATTATGCAAATCCACATGACAATGCATATCTATACTAAAAAAGTACTTCAGCAACTAAAATGATGGTTTGTTTACATGCACTAGCTTTATTCATCAGTAAAGTTGATTTACATTATATTTTGTTTATAATGGAAAAATTATAAATATACATATAAATATTTATTTGAAAAGGTAAATATATTGTATATATTAATTTATGGATTTAATTTTTAGAATTTTTTTACTTTCAGAACTTTTAACATCCTCTAAAGTCTTTGCAAAATATAAAGTATTCTTTTTCTGCTTCTGTATTTATAATGTATTTGAAGGGTATGTGTATGTGATTTGAATGGATTAAATTCTTTGATTTTTCTCTTCTCATTTTTTTTTCAGGGTGGAAAAACGGATGTCAAATAAACAGCATTTTGAGCTTACCTTCATCCATTCTCTTAAGATATTTAAATAGAATGTTTCTGTTTTAATAAGCATCTACTTCTATCTTTTTTCTTTGCCTAATTATGCATTCATAGCTATAAAATAGTTTTATTTTTTTTTATTAGTAAAAAACTAAATGCTTTTTGAAACGTTAATAAAAACTTTATTAAAATGTAAAGGAAGGCAGTTTATAAAATGTAATAAAAATATAATAAATACATCCTGTATATACAGGCATATAAGTATTCCAAACATATAAAATTTCGCGCTAAACTGTGGGTCAACTTATACACCACAGATAGAGGCGGACATTTGTTTGTTGTAAAATATCGATGCATTATAAACAATAAGATTAAGATAGATATGAAAAGCTCTGTGTCAATTTACCTTTACAGGTTACCCTTCTCAAAAATTATTTTTAAAATGTTAAACGCAATTAAGTTTGCATTTTTCTCTCACCACATTTTTAATGTATAAAGGTTTTTTACAAACAATACCTTAAATTACGTTTAAAAAAAATAAAGAATTAGAAAAGTTAAGATTATTTATGAAAAATATAACAAAATGAAAACTTTTTAAACAACCTACAAATTAAAAGATTTTGAAATATTATCTGTGTCAGATTCATTAATGTTAGCAGTGTTGTCATATGATCCCTCTCTGCAATGGATACTCTTTCATTGTCATGCTGAGTCCCACAAAAAATTGCCTTCATCCCTATCCGAAGAATTAAAACAATACCACATTTTACAACAACTTTTGAATCCACTTTTTGTGTTGCGTGGGAAATGGACGTGGTAATAGTTATTGCACCAGATCACTAAACAATGCAGAAATAGCATCACATTGTTCAGTTAAATTTCGTGGGTGTGATCACTTTTGGTTACATGAGAAATCGGTAACCGAGGTTGCTAAGACAGGTTGTCATTTCCACTTCTAGAATTATCAACATTTCCCATAACTATTAACTCAAAAACATATTTAAATTTGTAGTCATATTGGTATTCACGAAAAAGAAAGATTAAAGGCACTGTTTGTGATGTTATTTATTGATTACTATATTGTTTGTTCTACAAATTGTTTTACATAAACAAAAAATAAAAAAAGAATTTAAGTATGAAGAAATTGATTGTTTACATTTTTCTACCTAACAGATTATCTCCTATTTGCACTCATTATAAGTCCAGCTTAAAAATAAAAAAATTTCCTCTGATCTGGAACATGTTTTTGTTTACTTTAGTGAAGTAGAAAGACGAAAATATTTTAACAGGGTGGTCGATAATCGCTCGCTCGCAAATATTTGTTTGGTCTTTTTTGGGGTACTTTTTAGCAGTACACTGATTGGATAAGAAATTGGTTCATTAAAAATGTGGTTGTTGGAAGAGATTGTGACTCAATAGAAATGGTCCGTTATAGAAGTTTCACTGTAGAAACACATAAGACTATTGCAACTTATGGATCCCAATAGAGGTCAATAACAAGATAGTCAATAACAAGATGTAGTATAGAAAAATGTACATGATTAAAAAAATGGTTCAAGTTTATTTAATGTTTATAATAAATAGAAAACATTACAATTTATATAAGTTTGTAGTTATTAATATAACTTTTAATGTTTTCTTTTTGTTGCCTAAGTTTTTTTTTTTAAATTTAATATGTAGAATATTCTATACATTGCATAAAATACTGGAAGCAGAAACATTCCAGCACAGCAGCGGCCACTGCAGATTAATACAGCATGAGCATCTGTTGATTATTTTTGTTTTTTATTTTCAATAAGCAAACCAACGAACAGGAGGAAATTACTGAGACTTCTTTTTAAAACAACTGCCAACTTGTTTCGTAAAACTTTTTTAAAAAAAACTGAGTTGGCAGAACACCACCAAGAACAAAAAGTAAAGATTTTTTATTCTGTTACCTGATTAAAAGCTTAACTGTAATGGGACTGATTCCATTTTTTTCATATCTTTATACAAAACTTCAATTTAAACAACGTAAAAGTTTTTGTGTATACTTTTCAAGAACCTTATATTTTGTTGCTTATGTTAGATTAAGGAAAATTTTTACAACAATAATCTACTACTGTATTGAGGTTGCAGACCGAAATTTGATTTTTGAAGTTAGTGCTGCAGTTTCACTCTGAAAATTCTGTTAACAGAGATAGAATATTCCACAATGCATTCAATAGTTTGTGTAAAATTTCCATATTTTAAATTTTTTGTTTCTTATTCTAAGGTGCTGTGTAGTAAAATATTTCAAAGCTTATCAAAGAAGTAATTAAAAACTGAATAAATTACAGTATAGAGGAGGTGTTGACATAATGCATTTGCTGATAAATCTTTTTTTTTTCTTCTTTTTAATGTGAAAATGATAATTTCCTATCCATTTCTTTCTTACAACCTTTCCAAGAGATACAGTAGCTATAAAAACTAATGTTTTTATCACCATTTTATGATTCTTATTCATATTTTGCCACAGAGCAACAAAGACTTCTTCACTTTTGTCATCAATGGTGAAAAAACGACATTATTATCATCAACTCACTTTATTTCTCTTCAAAGTAAAAAAAATAGCATAAATGCTTGATTGCTAATTATGAAAAAGAGAAGAAAAATTTTTTTTTTGCGTTTCGAAATTTCATGCAAATATGTAATTTCGTGTATTAAGAAAAACTAAAGATCAAAAAAAAAATCATAAGTATAATAAAAATTTAATAGGTGAGTAATATGGTGTAATGAATAGATGAGTACCTGTGGAGTGAAGGAAATAAATTTATTTAAAATAAAACAAGAAAATTTAACCTTAAGAGGAAATGAAAAATCATCAATTCAACATATTTTATATATTCAATTCAACATTAACAACAACAGGCCATGTAAATTTTACAAATTCTAAAATAAAAGCACAGTAGAATCTCTCAAATTCAAATTGCAATATTGTACTATTAAAGCCAATGTGAGTCTTAACAATTTCAGAAATATAAATCACAATGCTTTATCAAAATAGCCATGACAATAATGAGTAATTTTTACATAACTGGTAATGTAATGTAGGATGTCCTAAGTTAGACTAGTATTTTTCAAAAATTTATGAAGGAACACAGCTAAGGTTTAAAAAAAACTTGCAGCCTATTAATGCAAGACATACATTTTTTCTTCCAGGGTTTCTGGGTTTAATTTAAATTTTTTTCAACAGATGGAACTGTAAATCCTTTCTGTTTTTCCTGTTTTGTATTGATGAAAAAAAATTTTTTTTTTGTTCTAAGATCCTGACATGTTTTAGAAGCTAATGAAGGCATTTTAAAAATATAATGTGATTTTCATTAATTGAAAGAGTTTGAAATAATGTGATGTAATTTTCAGTTGTTTTTCTTTGAATTATAGGTTTATTGTTTTCCGTGCTATTTGTTAAAGGTTTTTAAACTAAAGCCATTCATTCTGTGAGAAAACATTTACATTATCTGTCAACTTGTTCCAATTTATCGCAATCTTTTTATTTGAATATTTAGAATGGTATTTAATTTTATGATTTAAAATTTTTATCATTTTAATAAATTTATTTTAGAATTTTTTCCACCACAACATATGAAAAACTTAACCATAGATATAAAACTTATTAATTTGTGCAGAGTAATTGAGTGCAGGCTAAGATTAAACAAGTTAAGTTAAACTTAAATTGTAATTTGGATAACACTTTAAATATTCTGAAAATCTAGAGATTCCGCATTGGCAGTGCTGTATTTATACCCTCTCCTATAAGTTTGCTTTAAAAATGGTTATTTTTTGACATTAAATACTTTTTTTTTTCCTTAAATTTTTAAAAACCATCTTACTGGTTCAGGAGACCCTGTAAAAGCAACCTTTGACCAAATCTTTTTTGCATTCAATGCATTTTACTTTTAACCTAAATTTTTAGTATTTCAAATATGTGGTGATCTCAATTCAATTATATTATCAAAATTCTACTGTATAGTATGCAAAAAAAATTAAATAAATAAACGGATCAACCTATATAACTATTGATCTAATGATTCGATCTTCACGTTTCACAACTCAATCTTAATGGTTTGAGGGGTTGACCTGGAATATGCTAATTAATTATTGCAGACAATATTTTAAACTACAAAATTAGACACAAACATACTTTCTCTGAATAAACATACCCTTTTCTGATGAATTCGAATTTCTGATCACAAAAATGTAATTTTAACATCAATTTCATGAATTAAATAACAAAATTTTAAATAAAATACAAAATTGGTAGAATAATTCCTGAGAAATCAAATTTTAAAAATACAACTCTTACAAAGTTCGATTTCTCAGGAACTACCTGACTGATGTTGCTCAAATTTAGTATTTTACCATTCAAAATTATTTTGACTACTATTAAATAAAGTTAAAAAAAATATTTACAAAAAGTTATATTTTGCATGGAATTATTTTGGGGTAAAGGAGTTTTATAATTATATGCAAAAATTTTCAACTCGCATAAAAAGTCCTCGAGATATGTTGAAATATGCAAAAAGTAAAATTAACATTAAGAGGTCAAAACATTTGACCACTCANCCTGACATGTTTTAGAAGCTAATGAAGGCATTTTAAAAATATAATGTGATTTTCATTAATTGAAAGAGTTTGAAAAAATGCGATGTAATTTTCAGTTGTTTTTCTTTGAATTATAGGTTTATTGTTTTCAGTGCTATTTGTTAAAGGTTTTTAAACTAAAACCATTCATTCTGTGAGAAAACATTTACATTATCTGTCAACTTGTTCCAATTTATCGCAACCTTTTTATTTGAATATTTAGAATGGTATATTTAATTTTATGATTTAACATTTTTATCATTTTAATAAATTTATTTTAGAATTTTTTCCACCACAACATATGAATAACTTAACAGTGCAGGCTAAGATTAAACAAATTAAGTTAAACTTAAATTGTAATTTGGATAACACTTTAAATATTCTGAGAATCTAGGGATTCCGCATTGGCAGTGCTGTATTTATACCCTCTCCTATAAGTTTGCTTTAAAAATTGTTAATTTTTGACATTAAATACTTTTTTTTTTCCATAAATTTTTAAAAACCGGCTTACTGGTTTAGGAGACCCTGTAAAAGCAACCTTTGACCAAATCTTTTTTTCATTCAATGCATTTTACTTTTAACCTAAATTTTTGGTATTTCAAATATGTAGTGATCTCAATTCAATTATATTATCGAAATTCTACTGTATAGTATGCAAAAAAATTGAATAAACACACCAACCTATATAACGATTGATCTAATGATTCAATCTTCACGTTTTTCAACCCAATCTTAATGGTTTGAGGGGTTGACCTGGAATATGCTAATTAATTATTGCAGACAATATTTTAAGCTACAAAATTAGACACAAACCTACTTTCTCTGAATAAACATACCTTTTTCTGATGAATTCGAATTTCTGATCACAAAAATGTAATTTTAACATCAATTTAATGAATTAAATAAAAAAAAATTTAAATAACAAAATACAAAATTGGTAGAATAGTTCCTGAGAAATCAAATTTTAAAAATACAACTCTTACAAAGTTCGATTTCTCAGGAACTACTTGACTGATGTTGCTCAAATTTTGTATTTTGACATTTAAAATTACATTCTTTAAACTGATGTCAAAATTTGTTAACTTTACAATTTAAAATTTTTCGACTGTTATTAATAATTCCTGAGAAATCGTTTTTTAAATATACAACTCATACAAAATTTGATTTCACAAGAACTACTTGACTGATGTTGCTCAAATTTAGTTTTTACCATTCAAAATTATTTTGACTACTATTAAGTAAAGTAATAAAAAATATTTACAAAAAGTTATATTTTGCATGGAATTATTTTTGAGTAAAGGAGTTTTATAATTATATGCAAAAATTTTCAACTCGCATAAAAAGTTCTTGAGATATGTTGAAATATGCAAAAAGTAAAATTAACATTAAGAGGTCAAAACATTTGACCACTCAACTGTTGAAATCATATTTTCCAGCTTGCGACTACCTCCTATAGTTTTGGGGTCAGAAATCCGAATCTATCAAAAAAGAGATATGTTTATTCAGAATAGAAGCTTTTTGAGTCTGATTTTGTAACTGAAAATATCATGTGCTTTAATTAATTAGCATAATTGGGGTCACCCCCTTAAACTATTAAGATTGAATCCAAGAATGTAAAGATCCGATTATTAGATCAAAAGTTATTCAGAGGTGTTCGTTTTCTATTTTGAACACTGTACATACAAACCTTGAAGTATTGAAAAATAAAAAGCCCTTCTCACATACAAGGTTCTCTGCACCAGTTTCAGATTGATGTTTACTGGAGGCACCTTATGGATGTACTAAATTAGTATCACACTTGTTTTAACAAATTAGGTGCTAATTTAACTTAATGTAGATTTTGTACAAATGACTAAAATTGTAAAAGAAAAAGATAACATATTAAAGCATTAACAATAACAATGATTAAAATACTTCATTCAATCAATTGGACATGTCTATAAGCTCATGTTTTGAGGTTTTACCACCAGATTTTATAAGAGTGTCCAAAATGTCTTTTACTTTAATTTTACGCTTTATGTAGATATTCTTATCCTCTTTCTTTTGATATCTATTGAACAGAAGGCCAAGTTTTCGCCGATTCCTACAAAAAAAGTTTCTTTTAAAAAAACAAGCATAGTCACTCACAGTTATTTAGACACACAAATAAAAGATATTGAAAACTTAAATATACACCATATAAACAGACTTCGAGTTTACTGTTTTTTGTGTTGTTACTTGAAATGAAGTTTAAGGTCAGTATTTACAAAATAAAACAAAGAATACATTAAATTATTACACTTCAAATAAAATTAACAACTAGGTTATGTTTCTAAAAGCACATCCTTAAAAGAGTTATGATAAAAGAAATGCTTTAATAAATAAAGAAATAAGTTCATCACTTCCTTTTTGAAATTTTTTTTTCTGACCTATTAAGTATAAATATTTGATTCAATACTTTAATAAGTTATAAAGTCATTTTTTTTTTTATTTTGTAGAGAAATTTGCAAGTGGTCCACTTGGTCAACTTATAGAGAGAGATGCATAGTGTTTTTTTTTTTTTTTAATAATTTAATTTTTTATATATATTATTCTTATAGATACCATATAATTTATGTTTTTCATTTTACTTAGATATTTTTGATAGAAAATTTTATAAAAAGAAATGCAATTAAGTATTTTTTTTAAAAAAAATAATGCTATATTATTTAGCAAATGCCGCACATACATTGAGAAATAGGAATAGTTACAGAATGAATTAAATCTTGTAACATTAATTCAATATTAAATTGATGATTTAAAATTAAATACAATTATTTATTATAAATAACTTTTTTGAATATCAATACTCTAGGGCTAGAACATATATCCCATTAGAAAATGTAACAGTATATTTCTACATTTTAAAATTTTGTTGTACTTACAAACCTATTTGTTATAAAAACCTTCTTAAATTAAGAGAGCACTTAAGTTGGGTCTGATATAAAAAAAAAATTTCATGGAAATAATGTAGCGGATGAGCACCTACATGTATCAAATTATGCTAAAAAAAAATTTCACTACATTTACTTTAACATTTTGTCTTATATTTTTTTAAGAGAATCGATGCCCATCAAAAAACGTTGCTCTTTCTAGAACTTGTACCCAAATCATAAAAAAAAATAATAATACAATTATGCATTTTCACATTGTATAACTATATAGTTAAATACATTTTTGTTCTGAAGTCAAATTTAAGTCTACGCTAATCTTTTCACATCCAACACAGTATTTGCTATTTTGAAGTAAAAAAAACAGATATAATTTTTTCCGTGAGAAAACACAAATAATAGAAATTATAAATAAATTTGAATTGGCCTTACTGATGAATCGCTGTCTTTTCAGGTAATGAAAATTTTTCAGAAAATTTGAGAACTACTAATTCATCAGACTTGCTATATCCTGTCAGCAGAGTTGCAATTTTGGATTTAATATTAGTTAGGCTTACCCACTCACTTAAATCTGCATAATGCTGAAAAACTTTAGCAAAATTCTCATTCCCTGGACTGAAATAAAAGAATTAAAAAAATTACACATGGCATATTTATCAAAATTATGAGTGCTTGTAGTTTAATATTATAAAGTTAAATATTATTTTAGTAGAAATAATAGTACAGCAAAAGCCTGATGTAATAAGTGAGGCATTTTGGAAAAAGTCCACTATTACGACAAGTTTCCAAGTCGCCGTCAAAATGCTAATATTGCAAAAATTGTACGTCGTAAAGAGTTAAAATTTGCTAGCCTTTTACTATATTTTAGAAAGAGGAAGTTTTTTTTTCTTTTATTTAAGATAGCAATATTATACAAGAAAAGAGGGCAAAATGGAAAAGATTTCTATTCTAGGTTACTTCACTTTACTTATTATTTCTTACATCTTAACTTTTTATGCTTAATAACAAACATGCGTAGGTGATAAACTGCCAAATTATCTTTCTTCTTACAAAAGAAAAAGTCTTGTTTTATTTCTAAGAATACCACTCATTTAAAAAAAAATTGCCTTTCTATTAGTCACACATTTCAAAAAAATGTGCCTTTTTATTAGTCACATACTTACTATTTTTCTTTCATATTCCACTTTTTTTTTTTTTTTTGCATCTTGCTAAAACATTCAGCTTGGTTTACAATCCACAGGACTAAAGCAATTTCCTCTAAATGTGTAGTTTATTTTATATCAAAACAGCAGTTCAAAATAAAAAGTAAATAATGTAACTTTATCTATTTCATTTTCACATTATTTTAAGTACTACTTTTACATTAAAACTGTGTGCCTGCCTTATATCGACAAGATCACTAAAATGAGAATTTCATCTGCTTTTGCGAATAGTCATTATAATGGATTTTAAATCTAGCCTTTAATTAACTTTAACAGTAGAAATTTTTTAATTTAGATTTTTATTATAAATATCTTTGATTTTATAGCTCAAATTTTCATTAAATATAGTTGATTTTGCAAATTTTACAGCTACTGTACATTTTAAATTTCAATGAAGAAAAAAAAAGTTTGCTATGAGTGGATTTGATTTTTTCAAAAAAATCCATCCATCTTCATGTTCAAACAAACAAGTGATTGCTGGAAGAAATTATCTGGAATCTTTTTCTCAATGTGTAATTTTTTTTTTTACGTACTTAGAAGATAAATAAAAGACTGTCATTTATTTTATGCATCAAAGCAACATTTATGTAATTTAAACAGAAAAAGGAAAAATTTTAATGCAATGTCTTTCAATTGGACTAATCTGACTTTAAAAAAAAAATTTAAAACTGAAACACACAGTTTGCTGCACAGTAATTAATGAAAAAAGATTAATGATAACGTCATCTCTATTCACGACAAAACACAAATCGGGCGTATCAAAAAAGGAGTTCATTAAATGTATGTTTTGAGATTCTAATACTATAATAAATAATATCATATTAAAAATATGCATTAATTAGTAGTGATAACTGCCGAAAAATCGATTGAAAAAGATGATAGAATTATTGTCTAAAATAGTGAGTACTTAGATGTGCAATTTGAGGGTGTGTAGCCAAATTATTCAACAAAAAATAAGCACTTTTCAAGCACTTCAAAAAATATTTTTCAGTACTTTACAAAAATATCATAATTCGACAGGGTTGGAAAGTTTTTGACAATTGACGGTTTTATCTGCTTTTTACCGTCATGCCCAAAAAAACTTTTGGCATTGTTTTTGACAATTGTCAAAAATCCTGAAATTTTGAATCATGTAAAATGAATGGCTTTTTCATACGCTGCGGACTGACAATACAATACGCCAAAATAGATTGGGGATGAATAGAACAATGTGAACTTTTTTTTTTTTGCATAATTCATGGCAAAAATCAACATGGAAAAGGAAAAAATCTCATTTTGAAAAAGGGAAAATTAAGCCCCTTTTAAAAACACCCAATGAAAAAAGCACCTTTAAGGGCTTTTAAAAAACGAAAATAAGCACCTTTAAGCACTTTTTAAAAACGCTACGCTCCCTGAATTTGAATCATAATAAGATCAGGATTTAAAAATATCAATGGCAATAACTGCAAAAACAAAACATCTAAACAATGCATGAATTTAGTGCAAAATTAAGCATGTCAAAAAGTAATTACTTAAATGTGCAATACAAAATGTACATTTTTTAATAATATTATGTGAAATTATCAGGATTGGAGAAAGAGAAAAAAAAACCTGTGGATATCAGCAGTAATAACTGTCTAAAAGACCATCGAAAAAACAGTTGTATTGTTTCGTCAAAAAGTGACTAATAATTGCAGGAATTGAATTTTATGTGTCGTAAAAATAATGTTCAAACAATATAGGAATCTAAAAATAAAAAAAAAACATTGAAAAAATCAGTATACTAGCTAATAGTGTCTGATATACTTTGGCATTTTTCCAATTTTAATTGCTGAAGACATTAATCTGGACACGGAAATTAAAAAGCTTGAGAAGAAGAGAACAGAAAAACAAAAGTAGAAGGAAAGAATTGGTGGGACTTTCAATAGGTTCTTATTTTTGAACAAAGGTAAAAGAGAATAATCTAATATGGTCAGATAGTCTAAAAAGAAAGTTGAAAGCTACCTACAAAGATAATGTGTACTTTTTCTTACTTTACAACAGCTTAGATATGGGTTTTGAATTTTGGATAAATTCTTAAGAAAAAGCGTACTCTCAGCGTATACAAGGAATGAGTTACTTCGAAAATATATGATGTGTGGTGGCTTGCAAATGAGTAATTTTTCACTACTCTATTTTTCAATATTTGCAACTCTATTTTTCAATATTTATTCTATGAAATATATTACTAAATATTTTATTTACCAAAGAAAATCTAATATAACTACAAGATTTAATGACTATTTGTTAATAATATACATGACTTACTTACCAAATAAAGTGTCTTCTACCATCAGTTTTAAGTTTTTTTCTATTGAACTTCAGATTAATCAAGTCTGAAGGATTAATCTCCAACACTTCATCACCACTCTCTTTGACCTAAAAACATTTGACTATCAGATTATCTGCTTAAAAACTAGCTCATTGTTGCTGGTACAGTGCACGAAAAAATATCATGAATAACCTGCATTTTAATGATCAGATTTTCAGGAACTTAATGCCAATCATAATGGTTCAAAGGGCTGACCTTATATATGCTAATTAATTGGTGCTAACTATTAAATAAGTTTTATAATAATAAGGATTTCAAGGGATGACCTCAAATACGCTAATTAATTAGTGTTTATTATTAATTAAGTTACAAAATCAGACACAAGAACATAAATTTCTTTTTTATATGTTCAGATTTCTGACCCTCAAAATAGACAAAATTTTAAAAAAATTGGGGAGCTAGATATATATGTATAAATACACTCATTGCCATAAAAATTAGCATACCTAGAAACAATTGTCAGAATGAAGCAAAATTTTATATATGTAAGTACAATACTGATTTAACAATTAAAGCCAAATAATCATTTATTGCAAGAAAAAATACAAATGAATGGAGGTTTTAGTCACAACGTGAATACAAGATGCAATACAGTCAGATATTGAGATATAAAAGTCACTTATGATGTCTTTCTGAGGTCTCTCGTTCCAAAGTTGCTGTAAAAATGCTACGACACTAAACTCGAAGGCGTCATCCCAAGTGCTCCTAGATATGCTCATTTGGCGACAAATCAGGAAATCAAGAAGGTCAGGGAAGGGTGGTATTGTAGCGGAGGCAATTCTGTGTTACAATTGCTGTTTGTGGTTGAAAATTGTCTCGTAGAAAATTTGCTCCTAAGAGTCTTGTCAAGAGTGGCAATACGTATATGTAGGATGTCACGAATGTTATGCTGTACTGATTGCACCCTCATAGCTGCCAACATGGATAGAATAAAATCCAGTAGATTTTACGAAATAATATAAATTTCATGATAATTGCTGCATAATGTAATAAATATTTTACACATAGGGAATTTTATAGTCCTCAAAATAGAAAAACTGCAATATTTTCCAGTTACGATTAACATTAAACATACTTGAAATGTTATCTATTATGTTTACTCATAATTTCGAATATTAATAGGTATTTAATTTATCAAAAATAGTAAAAAGATTTTTTTAATTAAATTAAAAAGAGAGTTCAGAATAAAAATAAACTGAACATTTTAGAACAAAAAAAGTTTTAAACTGATTTCTATAAATGAGGTTCACTTCCTTAGGTATTAGTAATACTTTTAAATATTCAATCAAGCAAGTAATAATCTGTACAAAAATTCTATTTCAATAGGGATTTTTTTAGGGAATTTACTCAATTTTAGGGAATTTTCTAAAATGTACAAAAACCAGTAGACCAGGAGAAACTGGCAAAATCCAGTAGAGTTGGCACCTATGCACCCTGGATCAGTATTAGAGGTGAATGTGCGTCACTCCACACGGTCACACCAGATGTAGAAGCTGTGTGCTACTATATACAGCATATGCAGGATTAGATTGCAACAGAATGGAACCAGGTCGTCTTCTGTGCTGAATCCAGATTTTACTTGGGCAGTGATGACCATCACGTATGAGTGTGGAAACTTTGCGGTGGATGCCTCAATTTTGACTATGCTGTATTTTGTTTTAAGTTTTCAATCATTTACTTGTTTCAATACTGTACTTATATATGTAAAATTTCATTTTCCATCAGACAACTCTTTCTAGGTGTGCTAATTTTTGTGGCAATGAGTGCATATGGCAAGAGCCCTAAAAATCCAAAAAAATATTGCTGCAGAAGGTTGAGTAATGTAAGATAGCCATAAACTAGCTGAGTAATTGACAAAAAAGCAAAGCCAGCTTGTAAAGTCTTATTTATTAATAGATAATAGAAAAATATATCTTAATGTTTCTAGACAACAGATAATTTTGAGCTGATTTTTGACCAAAAAAACAATGATTGTTTTTTTTTATTTTCATTTATTTATTTATTTTTAAATAAAATTTGAATTGATTAACCAATTGTTTATGATTTTCCAAGATTTCAAAATTTGAATACATGAACTTTTTATATGACATTACTTGTTTCTTACGATGATTTAATTTTATTTATATGAATATATACTAAAAGCAAATTTATATAAATTATTATAATTATATACAGAACTGTAGGGCTAATTATTTTTACAACTTCAATTAAGTCTTCCTGGCAAGGAAGTTCAAAGAGACGGAAAAAAAGGGTCACAGAAAAAATTCAGAGGGTTTGAAAGAGATTATAATTAAAATGCACTTTCACAAGGTTTTATCTGATTTTTGATATTTCTTTTTTCTGTAAATAGAGAAATTAGTAAACATTAAGTAACATGCATCGAAATATGCGTGTTTAAGAATTCATTGCTCAAAAAATCTATTCATTATGCCAGATATATAATGTAAGAACTAGTATAACATTGTATTAAAATAAAATTGTACTTCAAAAATTTATTGTCCAAAAATTTATTTATTATTGAAAAGCAAAGCAAACTGTTGCAGTTTGTTGAGTAGTACCCGTATGTATTTACTTTTCATAACTCAAACAAATAAGAAATAATGAAATAAAAAAAATTAATAATTTGTCTATTCATTCCTGAAGAAACAATTCCTTAATATCATCAATCAGACATTTTGCACAAAGTAATTTAAAAGTAGCAAAATGTTTTTAACTTCTTAACAAGGTTTAAGTTATAGCTAATTGGCCTTTTTTCTTTTTTTTAACTAACTTTACAATCAGTTGAAACGAATGATTAAATTAAAGAAAAACCTAAATTAAAGTACTGGTAAAACTGAAACAAAATAGATTTGAATATTATCGCAAAAATAACATATACAGTCAAACCCCGCTATAGTGAACATGGTTTATAGTGAACTCCCGGATATAGTGAACGAAATGTTCGGTCTCGTGCCTTGCTATACACGGATAATGTTATTTTTTGTGGATATAGTGAACCAAAGAAGTGAGGAAGTTGGATATAGAACTTTTTTCTATCTTCGACTGATTTTTAAAAAAAAATTTTGTAACAATTTTGAAATTTCTATTAAATACATATACCAAATTAAATACATATACCGATTTTCAAAACCATCTATAGAGGGGAATGTAGCGATAAGTATGTTTTCTTGTTTGCTTCTTTTATCTCACTTTCCCATCCCTAAACAAACCAAGTAGATGTTTCCAACCCAGGCAGACGATGCATCTGTAAGGTGTCAGCGAGTTCAATATGCATTTTTTTTTCAGAAGAAATGAGTAATTATTCATTATTGGTTAAAGAGTTGGACACTAATATGTGTTGATAAGGCCCTCATTTCAACTCCTTTTTGTTTTCAGTTCAGTTAAAATAAATCCTGCAAACAAGTGTCTCAAATTTAACTATGGTTAGCAATAAACGTAAAACGTTCTCCATTAATGATAAAATGGGCATAATCAGAAAAATTGAAAATTGATGCAATCAAGCTGATATTTGCAGGGAATATAAACTATCCAAATCTGCAGTTTGTAACATATGGGGAAAAAGGCAATTAATAATTTTTGCTCATGAAAAAAATTTAGATGGTGGAAAAAAGTTGAGAAAAGCAGATCACAAGGATAATGAAGAAACATTGCTGAAGTGGTTCACCAATCGAAGAAGCCGCAATTTTCCAGTATCTGGCAAATGTCGATGAATTTGCTAAGCGATTTTATGAAACTACTTTCACGTGCTCGAATGGCAGGTTTAAAAAGCGGAATAACAGAAATTCAGGAAAAATTATCTGAGAGTCGGGAAGTGTTTCCATATCTGATAGTGAGGATTGCTCATCAACTAAGGATTACTAATTTTATTGTACGCAAGACGAAAAGTAATGAAAAATAAAAAAAATTTTGCCGCGGAATACACATAAAAGAGAGGAGTTAAGGAACCATTAGTTAAATTGACTGCGTAACGGATATGGTGAACTCCTGCTTATAGTGAACCGAAACTTCAGTCCCTTGAAGGTTCACTATATTATAACATATGTATTATAACATATTGTCTCCAACAATGTTTGACTGTATTATAATGTTATAAATGTTTGACTGTATTATAACATATTCTTTATCTACTTGGGAGCATAAAAAATAAGAATTTTAAAAATGTAAAAATATAATGCAAAAATTGGTTGAATAAATCAGCAAAAAGCATGAGGCCAGGTAATTCACATTTTATTTAAAAAATAAGATGTTTAGGACCATATAACAGATTTGAGATATTTTATGACATTAAATTTTGACTTCCAATGAGGTGAACCTGGAGCGAATTCCAGCAATGGCCTGGTTGATACGGATTCCACAACCAGCTCGGATCAACCAGAGTGCAGACATAAAATATTCTCAGTGGTAGAGAGATCATGGGTTTGAGTCCCCTTGCAGTCAGGGTGATCGTGTGAGGTATTTGTGGTTTCCCTTGCCATGTAATGTAAATGTAGATTAGTTCCATCAAAAAGTCTTTCACAAAGGCAAATTTCTCCCAATACTTGATCCAGGAGTTCCTTTGTCTTCCAGATTGGGATCAAAATTACAAGTACGAAGTTGAACATTAGTAGTCGTAAACTCAAAATAGGGTTATCTGTTCGATGACGGTTATAAAATATATTAGGCAGCTATTAAATGCTCTTTGCTCTATTTAATGCTCTATATTATTCAGTAATTTAATGCTCTTTGTAGGGGCGGGCTTAAAACATCACAACACAAATTTCTGATGCTGATTATTGATGTTACTAGAGCTTGATACAAAAAATTATAAAATTACTTTTTATAAAACTTTGTATCTTCATTTGTGATTTTTTGCTTAATTATTAAATTATATATTGTTTAATTTGATAAATACATTTACAATATTTTGAGGGGTAGAAATCTCAGGGTGCATAGCCAATTTTTTCAACAAAAAATAAGCACCTTTTAAGCACTCAAAAAATATTTGTAAGCTTTTTAAAAAAATATCATAATTAGACAGGGTTGGCAAGTTTTTGACAAATGATGGTTTTCTCCAGTTTTATTTGCTTGCCCGTGGCGAAGACAAAGGCAGGTCACCAACGATGAAATTAATAAGAGAAATAAAATGTTCTATAGCAATTAGAGAAAAAAAATTGACAATGTTTAGTTGATCCCCGTAATCAGCAAAAATTCAAGAGATTTGTCGGTTCAATTTAAGAAGGCGGAAAATAAAGTCTGAAATTGAGAATCTCTTGCAAAACGCAGCAGAGTTGCACATGAGAGACCAAAATCCTTCCCAATGAGTCCAGCTCATGCGAACCCGCAAGTATTTGATCAAACCTGTAACACACCTTGTGTTTTCATACACTATGCATGGTAAAGAAAAAATATCTCATTTTGGAAAGGGGAAAATTAAGCACTTTTTAAAAACACCTATTGAGAAAAGCACCTTTAAGGGATATTAAAAAACGGATATCGAAAATAAGCACCTTTAAGTATTTTTTAAAAATGTTACTCACCCTAAATCCATATATATATATATATATATTCTAAAAAGTATGTTTTTGTGCATGATTTCGTAACTTAATTCGTAGTTAACTCTAATTAATTACCATATTCGAGGTTAATATGAATCCAAGAAACAGTTAAGAATGACACTTATGCAAAAGTTCGATCATTAGAAAAAAGTTATTTAAGGTGAAATATTTTCTTTTGTGCTCGTTATATTTATATATATGCTACTATTATATTATATATAACTAGTTTACATGAGTTTTATTTGTTTATTTATGCATTTTTATACTCCAGAATAAAATTAACCCCGTCTCTTCACAGTCTTAAAACTTTCTTTTCAGTTTGAAAATCAATATTTAAAAACTTCCCCCTAAGTAGACTTCTACTTAAGTTTCAAAAAATATTTAATTTATTAATAAATTTTTCTTCTCCTCTATTAAAAAATTTATATATTTTTCCATGCTTTCTTTGTACTTTTAATTTTATTAGTCAATTATTAGTTAGCATAAAATAATGTGCATAATAAAAAATTTGGAAGGAATATGGGAATGAAAATTCACTTTAATAGTGTAGATTTCTCTTTGTAGTTTTTCCAAAACTATTTTAACAGCTTCATTCTTTGCCCTTGTTTTGCTAGCAGCAATACCAGTCCCAATAACTTTATGATCAAGTAAAACGTCAACCCTGAAAAATTAAAAAAAAAAAAATTACTGTAAGAAAATCCACATAAATATTTAAATTTATAAAAATCAGTCAAAATTACTATGAATGCAATAATATATATTTAGACAGAAAGTAAAACTTTCATGTCTTGAGATTCTTTGATTTGTCTAACAATAGAAGGAATTTCATAAATGCACACATTATAAATTCCCTACCTTTTTAGATGGATAAAAAGGTAGAGAATTTATAATCTGCTTAAATATCATAATTTTTTCATACATATTTTTCTTTAAATTTTTCATCTTGGAGGCTTTTTTCCTCACTTTTTTGTTTTAATTTAATTTTTAAAGCTTCATTTGAAAACTAAATTGTTTAAACACAGAATTTGTAATTTTTGAAGATTTGAAACGTTTTAATAATGTTATTTGGTCACTTTCACATTCAAGTAAAATGCACATTTTTCAGTAATACTTATTTTATCCTACCTTTAACAAAGTTTTAATCTAAATAAAAATCGACATAATAAATTACACACCAAATATATATATATACACACACACACAGTAGAGTCTCGATAATTAGAGCTGGACAGGTCCGAGCCTACTGTGAACTTTTGAAAACTTAAAATTTAATAATTATTTAAATGAATGGAAACAAAGCAATTTTTTAAATTCAGTATTTAATTGAAAAATATATTATATTTAAAGAAAATTTACTTACATTAGAGGATCAGGGCAAATTTACAATATTAAACCAAGTTACAATATTCATTATATTACTGCATCAGATTAATGGTACTTTAAAATAATTGTCAGATGTTTTTTATTTAAACACACTATTCACATGTTTCAGTGGTTAACATAAAAAATCTTTTTACAACATTTAGTTGTAGTGATCGTCGTGAAATCAATTGTAGTAATTGCTTCACGTGTTGTTTGTGTGTTGGTCATTATTTGGAAGCGAGACTTTTCTTCCCAAGCTCACATTTATGGGAAACTCGAACCAAGTTCTCAATCATAAAATATTAACTTTTATGTACTATATCTTAATTGGGATTTATTTTACTGCTTTGAATAGGGACCCGTTTTTAGTAAAAAAGGGTCTGGAAAATTTGGAAGTAGTGGGTTCCTATAGTTTCCAAATCATAGTGGAATCATTAACCCTAACAATATCCTAATGAAACAGGTTTTAACACATCAAAAAACAAATTGTTGACACAATAAGTTTATAAAATGTATAAAGTGTCGAAGTTAAATTATTATGGCTAGAAAAACACTACTAACCTATGTGAATTAATAAATATTAACTTCGTTATATATATTAACAAGTTAATATAAATAACGAAGTTGGTCCTATAATGAATTTCTCAGCACATATATCCAAGTAGCACGTGAAATAATTATTAGAATTTCCTTTGCTTTTATATGAGTTTCATTGGCAAACACAAACATTTTTAAAACTAAAATCCTATGATTCGGTCACTACACAGGTTTAGTTAAAGTAAACAATTTTCAGGTAAAAAAAGCTTTTAATAACTTGTGTTAGTAAGTGAGTGATTATTGGTGAATAATAGTAATATTCATCGATATCGGGGAAGCGGTGAGTAATGTTCGGTGAAATTTTTAGAATATCCTTTGCCTTCTATGAGTTTCATCTGATTTCTTTAGCAAGTACAAAAATTTTTAAAGCCAATCACAAAACATAATTGTTTACAGTAAACAATTTTCAAGTAAAAATAACTTTCAATAACTTGTCTCGAAAAAAATAAATTTTAATTTAGGTTAAACTTGTTTCAGAAAACGTCTTTCGTTGATACCAGAATTTCCTAGCAAAAACTAGTAGTGTATACTTCTTTGGTAAATACCAGAATTTTCCAGGAAAAACTAGTCTTAATACCTTTGTCAAGTTTTATTTGACTTCTTCAATAAATACTGGAATTTTGCAGGCACGACATCAAATACTAGATCTTCATTGATAGTTTCAAGTTACTTTTAAAGGCTTTCTTCGGTTAAATACTAGAATTCACTAGTGAAAACTAGCTTTAATTCAAAATTTCTTCAGTAAATACTAGAATTTCCTAGTGAAAACTAGCTTAACTTCTTCAATAAATGCAAGAATTTACCAGTAAAACTAGATTTAAGTGAATTTTTCAGTAAATACTAGAATTCACAAGTGAAAACAAGTTTTAATGTTCGATTTCTTCATCAGTAAATACTAAAATTTTCTAGGAAAATTTCGAACATCGCCTTCAATGAATGCTAGAATTTCCTAGAGAAAAATAGTTCTAAGAGGATCTTTCACTAATTACTAGGAGTTTCAATCAAAAAACAAGTTTCAGCAACTTTTAAAAAATACCCAATAGAAATAAGTTTCACTAACTTACCTATTCAATAAATGCACTAGAATTTCCAAGTAAATCTAGTTTTAACAGAAACTCAGTAAATACTAAAATTTCATAGGAAAAACGAGTTTTAACTGAATTTTCTTCAGAAAAACCAAAATTTATCAAAGTATAAATGCTAGGTAGCATTTATACTTAGAAAACTTTTATGTTTATTACAACANAGAGAGATCATGGGTTTGAGTCCCCTTGCAGTCAGGGTGATCGTGTGAGGTATTTGTGGTTTCCCTTGCCATGTAATGTAAATGTAGATTAGTTCCATCAAAAAGTCTTTCACAAAGGCAAATTTCTCCCAATACTTGATCCAGGAGTTCCTTTGTCTTCCAGATTGGGCTCAAAATTACAAGTACGAAGTTGAACATTAGTAGTCGTAAACTCAAAATAGGGTTATCTGTTCGATGACGGTTATAAAATATATTAGGCAGCTATTAAATGCTCTTTGCTCTATTTAATGCTCTATATTATTCAGTAATTTAATGCTCTTTGTAGGGGCGGGCTTAAAACATCACAACACAAATTTCTGATGCTGATTATTGATGTTACTAGAGCTTGATACAAAAAAATATAAAATTACTTTTTATAAAACTTTGTATCTTCATTTGTGATTTTTTGCTTAATTATTAAAATATATATTGTTTAATTTGATAAATATATTTACAATATTTTGAGGGGTAGAAATCCCAGGGTGCGTAGTCAATTTTTTCAACAAAAAATAAGCACCTTTTAAGCACTCAAAAAATATTTGTAAGCTTTTTAAAAAAATATCATAATTAGACAGGGTTGGCAAGTTTTTGACAAATGATGGTTTTCTCCAGTTTTATTTGCTTGCCCGTGGCGAAGACAATGGCAGGTCACCAACGATGAAATTAATAAGAGAAATAAAATGTTCTATAGCAATTAGAGAAAAAAAATTGACAATGTTTAGTTGATCCCCGTAATCAGCAAAAATTCAAGAGATTTGTTGGTTCAATTTAAGAAGGCGGAAAATAAAGTCTGAAATTGAGAATCTCTTGCAAAACGCAGCAGAGTTGCACATGAGAGACCAAAATCCTTCCCAATGAGTCCAGCTCATGCAGACCCGCAAGTATTTAATCAAACATGTAAAACAAATAGTGTTTTCATACACTATGCATGGTAAAGAAAAAATATCTCATTTTGGAAAGGGGAAAATTAAGCACTTTTTAAAAACACCTATTGAGAAAAGCACCTTTAAGGGATATTAAAAAACGGATATCGAAAATAAGCACCTTTAAGTATTTTTTAAAAATGTTACTCACCCTAAATCCATATATATATATATATATATTCTAAAAAGTATGTTTTTGTGCATGATTTCGTAACTTAATTCGTAGTTAACTCTAATTAATTACCATATTCGAGGTTAATATGAATCCAAGAAACAGTTAAGAATGACACTTATGCAAAAGTTCGATCATTAGAAAAAAGTTATTTAAGGTGAAATATTTTCTTTTGTGCTCGTTATATTTATATATATGCTACTATTATATTATATATAACTAGTTTACATGAGTTTTATTTGTTTATTTATGCATTTTTATACTCCAGAATAAAGATAACCCCGTCTCTTCACAGTCTTAAAACTTTCTTTTCAGTTTGAAAATCAATATTTAAAAACTTCCCCCTAAGTAGACTTCTACTTAAGTTTCAAAAAATATTTAATTTATTAATAAATTTTTCTTCTCCTCTATTAAAAAATTTATATATTTTTCCATGCTTTCTTTGTACTTTTAATTTTATTAGTCAATTATTAGTTAGCATAAAATAATGTGCATAATAAAAAATTTGGAAGGAATATGGGAATGAAAATTCACTTTAATAGTGTAGATTTCTCTTTGTAGTTTTTCCAAAACTATTTTAACAGCTTCATTCTTTGCCCTTGTTTTGCTAGCAGCAATACCAGTCCCAATAACTTTATGATCAAGTAAAACGTCAACCCTGAAAAATTAAAAAAAAAAAAAAATTACTGTAAGAAAATCCACATAAATATTTACATTTATAAAAATCAGTCAAAATTACTATGAATGCAATAATATATATTTAGACAGAAAGTAAAACTTTCATGTCTTGAGATTCTTTGATTTGTCTAACAATAGAAGGAATTTCATAAATGCACACATTATAAATTCCCTACCTTTTTAGATGGATAAAAAGGTAGAGAATTTATAATCTGCTTAAATATCATAATTTTTTCATACATATTTTTCTTTAAATTTTTCATCTTGGAGGCTTTTTTCCTCACTTTTTTGTTTTAATTTAATTTTTAAAGCTTCATTTGAAAAGCAAATTGTTTAAACACAGAATTTGTAATTTTTGAAGATTTGAAACGTTTTAATAATGTTATTTGGTCACTTTCACATTCAAGTAAAATGCACATTTTTCAGTAATACTTATTTTATCCTACCTTTAACAAAGTTTTAATCTAAATAAAAATCGACATAATAAATTACACACCAAATACATATATATATATATACACACACACACAGTAGAGTCTCGATAATTAGAGGTGGACAGGTCCGAGCCTACTGTGAACGTTTGAAAACTTAAAATTTAATAATTATTTAAATGAATGGAAACAAAGCAATTTTTTAAATTCAGTATTTAATTGAAAAATATATTATATTTAAAGAAAATTTACTTACATTAGAGGATCAGGGCAAATTTACAATATTAAACCAAGTTACAATATTCATTATATTACTGCATCAGATTAATGGTACTTTAAAATAATTGTCAGATGTTTTTTATTTAAACACACTATTCACATGTTTCAGTGGTTAACATAAAAAATCTTTTTACAACATTTAGTTGTAGTGATCGTCGTGAAATCAATTGTAGTAATTGCTTCACGTGTTGTTTGTGTGTTGGTCATTATTTGGAAGCGAGACTTTTCTTCCCAAGCTCACATTTATGGGAAACTCGAACTAAGTTCTCAATCATAAAATATTAACTTTTTATGTACTATATCTATAATTGGGATTTACTTTACTGCTTTGAATATGGACCCGTTTTTAGTAAAAAAGGGTCTGGAAAATTTGGAAGTAGTGGGTTCCTATAGTTTCCAAATCATAGTGGAATCATTAACCCTAACAATATCCTAATGAAACAGGTTTTAACACATCAAAAAACAAATTGTTGACACAATAAGTTTATAAAATGTATAAAGTGTCGAAGTTAAATTATTATGGCTAGAAAAACACTACTAACCTATGTGAATTAATAAATATTAACTTCGTTATATATATTAACAAGTTAATATAAATAACGAAGTTGGTCCTATAATGAATTTTTCAGCACATATATCCAAGTAGCACGTGAAATAATTATTAGAATTTCCTTTGCTTTTATATGAGTTTCATTGGCAAAAACAAACATTTTTAAAACTAAAATCCTATGATTCGGTCACTACACAGGTTTAGTTAAAGTAAACAATTTTCAGGTAAAAAAAGCTTTTAATAACTTGTGTTAGTAAGTGAGTGATTATTGGTGAATAATAGTAATATTCATCGATATCGGGGAAGCGGTGAGTAATGTTCGGTGAAATTTTTAGAATATCCTTTGCCTTCTATGAGTTTCATCTGATTTCTTTAGCAAGTACAAAAATTTTTAAAGCCAATCACAAAACATAATTGTTTACAGTAAACAATTTTCAAGTAAAAATAACTTTCAATAACTTGTCTCGAAAAAAATAAATTTTAATTTAGGTTAAACTTGTTTCAGAAAACGTCTTTCGTTGATACCAGAATTTCCTAGCAAAAACTAGTAGTGTATACTTCTTTGGTAAATACCAGAATTTTCCAGGAAAAACTAGTCTTAATACCTTTGTCAAGTTTTATTTGACTTCTTCAATAAATACTGGAATTTTGCAGGCACGACATCAAATACTAGATCTTCATTGATAGTTTCAAGTTACTTTTAAAGGCTTTCTTCGGTTAAATACTAGAATTCACTAGTGAAAACTAGCTTTAATTCAAAATTTCTTCAGTAAATACTAGAATTTCCTAGTGAAAACTAGCTTAACTTCTTCAATAAATGCAAGAATTTACCAGTAAAACTAGATTTAAGTGAATTTTTCAGTAAATACTAGAATTCACAAGTGAAAACAAGTTTTAATGTTCGATTTCTTCATCAGTAAATACTAAAATTTTCTAGGAAAATTTCGAACATCGCCTTCAATGAATGCTAGAATTTCCTAGAGAAAAATAGTTCTAAGAGGATCTTTCACTAATTACTAGGAGTTTCAATCAAAAAACAAGTTTCAGCAACTTTTAAAAAATACCCAATAGAAATAAGTTTCACTAACTTACCTATTCAATAAATGCACTAGAATTTCCAAGTAAATCTAGTTTTAACAGAAACTCAGTAAATACTAAAATTTCATAGGAAAAACGAGTTTTAACTGAATTTTCTTCAGAAAAACCAAAATTTATCAAAGTATAAATGCTAGGTAGCATTTATACTTAGAAAACTTTTATGTTTATTACAACAAGCATAGAGATGAAATTGTTATTTATTTGGTAACAATAAGAAATAACATGGATTTTTAGCAGTTAGAGAATTGAAGCAACTCAGATGGTTGGCTAAATTCTTTTTAGTTTAAAAACCAACGAAAGTTTTCAATAAGTCTCCTTACTATTTTAACTATTTAAAGCAAAGATTGTATGCAATTGAAAATTTTATAGTTAAATTCCTAGTGCAAAATCATATATAATTGAGTCTTATCTAATCTGTATTCAAATTAAGTCTTATCTGTATTCAAAAGTAGTTTCTTTGAGCCAAGTATCTCTACATTACATACATTTGCTAAGAATCACTGCTATTGATGCCTTGCAACGAGCTAAAGAAAAGTAAGTACTTTTTTTAGAATAGTACAGACTTTCATAAAAAATACTACTTTTAATAAAAATAAACTTAAAAAAAATAATAATAATTTGCACTACTTAAGCATACTAAAGGTAAATTTTATCGCAAAAGAATAATAAAATATATTATTTTTACTTACAGAATTAATTTGTTTAGAGCTGAAAGTTTTATAAGTTTCCTGTATAATTTTATTAACACAAAATCTACTGAACAACTCATTATTGAGATCAATATGTAGAAAATTTTTATAGTTAATTGTATTAAAAATAAAGGAGTATCAATTAGTTAATATTCTCTCATACAATTGCTCGCCTGCTACTCTCGAAGAGTAGATAATTTCATTTTAAAAATTTATTAGTACTCGTTCGATAAGTAATTTGAAATTCTTCTCTAGTTTTTTCATCCTTGTACTGTAACAATTGTTGTTCTGATTATAAAACCTGACACATAAAATTGGTTATTATCTAATGAGCTTGAACTTGATTCTGCCTTGAAAAGGATTGCAAATGGTGGCCTTAAACAATGTTTAAACTGTATTCAAGTTGCACATGATAAGGCAACATTTTTATAAAAATCATTCTTGTCCTGTTTCAACCTATTGTTTTAGTGCAGGAATGGCCAACGCTTAACATGCATTGCACAAATGGCATGGAAAGGTATTCTAAATGGCACACAAACACATCTTAACTTGAAAAGAAAAGAAAAACAAAATATTTTAAATGATTTTTTTAGCTTATGATTTTTTATTACTTTTCTATTGCAACTCCATAATAAACTTTGCTAAAAATAAACATTGCTTATGACTGATGAATATCTTATAAGCTTTCAATTTTTCATAACTTTATCACCAAATATGGAAGAATTAGTAATAATCAAAGCAAGGTGTGATTGGTGGCAAGATTTTTTCTTTCATTATTGTTTGCACTTGCAAAATTATTGTTTCAATTCTTTTTTAAAAAAATCCATTGACAACTTATTGTATATCATTAATAATAAATCTCGATGCTCGCTGTATTTTAATTTATACAATTACTTTATTATAATTTATTAATTTTCAATGATGAATTATTTAATAAAATGTAAACTTGTTTTCTTAAAATTTAAAAAAATAAATTATTTAGTCTTTGATTTTACATTATTTTACAGCTTTTGACAATGCAAAGTTTAATTCATTTTTTATTACGAGTTTTACACAAGAAGGAGATGCAGTTAAATATGAAGTGGTACAATCAAGATTTTTGAAACTAAAGGTGGCACTGTAAAGGCTCATTCTTGGTCACACACGTTTTTGCATTTAGTTATAAAATATTTAACAATATTTTTATATTAATATTTCATGTAATGTGGTTAGATAGAGGTCAAGTAGTATGTTCAAGATTCAGTTTACACTATCAGTGATAATTCAGACACTTCAGAGTTGTTGTAAATCTAGGGATTTTAAAAAGACTCACAATAAACTGAGTAATTCTTCATCTTTGAGGATATGAAATTTCAATTCATAAGGTATTAGCCAAACTTAAATTTTTGCTCACCCCTATTCAGACAAAAAATATGAACAATTTGTAAAATGTTAAAAAAAAATGTAGTAAAGTAAACTTTATGGTGCCTAAAACCATGAATAAATGTAGAAACTGCAAGATGGAAACATATTTATAGCAAAGTAATAATGTGGACTTAGAATAAGGTTGCCATAAGATTTCAATATCATCCACATTATTGTAATAAAAAAAATATGATTGCCATTCACATGAAATCCATTCAAATAAGAAATCATTGAATATGAAAACCATTCTAATAAGAAAAATATCAGTAATGTTCCTATACTTAAAATGCTTCATGTTTGTGTACTGTTGTCTTTCAACACTACTATCTGTAAATTGCAGTCCTTGTGTCAAACTTTAAGACTCTGTTATGCTAGAGTCCAACTCTATTACTTACATGCCAATCCCGAATATTTTATCACCGATGGCAATTTCATGCCCTGGTCTAGCTAGAAGATTGTAACAATAAATGCGGATGGAAACTGTAACCTTCTCAAGTGCCTTAGTTATCACACAAATCCAGAAAGAATATATATATAAATGGCATGAACATGTTGAGCAGCTGATATAGTGATTATAACTGATAATTAGCTAAATGATTTTAAATGGGGGTGAGAGAGATATGAACGTTTATAAGAATTTTATATTCTTCAACCCACTTTTCTATGACCGATTGCCCTTAGTGCAAAATTTTTCCTAATTCTTGCAAGAAGTCAGGCTGCATAAACAGGATATTCAATGCTAAAAAAAAAAAATAATAAAAGGCTGGGAATTGTTTTACCAAATAATACTTACATATGGGTTTCATCAATTTGAGGATGATAATTGTAACCAAGAATTCTATGGCACTGACAGGCTGCATAAGAAAGATTACTACAAAGAGTGTGCCGTTCTTCATCAACTATTTCAGATCGATCAAACAATAAGAGGTTTTGTTTAATCGAATTATTGTATAGTCTTTCATTAATTGAAAAAGAATTCGTAGAATCTTTAACTTCTTTGTTGCTATATGTGACAGGAACTTTTGCTGTTTCAGTAGCTTTTACTGAGCTAATGTCTAGGAGAGAAAAAGTTGCTGTAGGAACAATATTAGATTTTACAATTTCTGCTTGCCTTGTTGTCTCATTTAGAGACATACGTTCCATATTTAGCGGCGTTCTGTGGGAATGGTCATCAATCAGACACAAAACATCCACATAAACATCCTTAGAAGCATCTGAGGACTTTCTCTTGCTCTCAAACAGGTCTAAGAAGAAGTTCTTTAGATTCTTAGCAGCAATGACTCTGGCTTTTTTCTTGGTTAGAGCTCTACCACTTGCCATTGGAACATTATTGACCAAAGCATCACAAACAAATAAAGCCTCCCCACCATTGGGATTGTTTACATCTTTATAAGAATTGTAAACTAAATCCTCTAGTCTTCCTATTCGGGCAAAAGTTGCATAAACAGTAGATAGAACATCCTGCCCTTTCATTGTTTCCCGTTTCATTTCAAAAGCCATTGTTTCTAATAATTCTCTGCCCCACTTACCATTAGTAGTACTTTTAGAGACCAACCTTTTTCGCAACATAGATTTCCCACGTTCTAGCGTTCCAGCAGGTAAATCTTTCATGTGTGTCATTACACAGAGAGCCTGGTAGGATGCTTTTCTTTTAGCTCCATTTTTAGTATTACCTGAGCCATGAGCAATTTTAGTAGCACCAATAAAAACCTCACAAAATTGCCCTGAATAAGTGTAATCAAACTTTTTTCTGTGCATAATACGGGTTGCGAATTTTAAATGAAAAGAATTTTCTATACCCAAAGAAATTGCTGCTCTTAACAATAAATCATGCACATTGTCTCCGTTGTTAAAACCCATCAATTTCTGGACTTCCGTAGAAAACTTCTTAATGACGGGAAGGTTTAATAATGTATTCAAAGCATTTTCAGAAGCCTTTTTTTTAGCAATGTACCTATTTTCTCCACCACTGATGGCAAGTTTAGTTGTACCAATAAAAAATTCACAATAGTAAGTGACTTTCTCAGAATCTGTTTCTTCAATAGGATATTGTGTGTATTTGAAATCAATCAAATCTTCAATATTCAAATGTAATGCTGCAGATAAAATTAAATCAACAGCATTATCTTTTTGCAACTTCAATAATTTCTGCACTTCTACAGTTAATTTCTCAATAATGCTGAAGTTTTCTGACTCAATGAGTGATTTGTAATCAACACTTTCTAAACCTAATGGAAGGCATTCATATTTTTCTTTGCTTTCTTTTTGCTTCTTCTTTTTCTTTTCTTTTTCCTCCCTTTTTCTCTCTTCCTGTTTCTCCTTTTCTTCTCTTTCCTGTTTCTCCTTCTCTTCTCTCTCCTGTTTTTCCTTTTGCACCCTTTTACACTGTTTTTTAGATTTAAAAGAGTCTGGATCTAAAATTTTTCTTTTACCTACAAGATAAAAATATGATTAATAAAGAATAATCAATTGAAACGCAAGATTTTAATTTTTACAATATTGCATATTTGTATACATTCCAAATAAAATAAAATAAGTATCTCAAAGCAAAATTAAAATCCAATAACTTACTTACTTTTCAATACAGTAGTGTAAACAATAACCTAATTGAGATTTATCAAAAAAAGTCTGCTCAGGCTTTGATTACCAGTCACCATTCATTTCAATTCGGCAGCTTTTTTCAACTAAGATACGAATTATTGGTAACTGAAGTCTACAATCAATTATAAAGATAGGTTTACAGCAAGATTAACAAGGAGTAGATAGGTTGATGGAATAATTATGGGTTTTAGTTAGATATTTGAATCTAAATGTATCAGGGTTCAATAACTATAATAATAACTAAAATGCCTGGTGGCTTGTAAAAATTCTGGTCGGGCAAGAAACTTTTTACTTTCCCATGTTTGGTCAGGCATATAAATATATAATTAAAAATACCCTAGAATAGTGATGAAACATTCACTCAAATGTTGATTACAAATGAAAAATTATTACAAATGAAAAAGGAAGTTAGATTACAAATGAAAAAGGAAGTTAGATTATTCTTTTCTATCCCCTTAATCGTATTCCGCATAAATAATAATAAATAGGAAAGTTGAAAGTAAATAGGAAAATGCAATAGCAAAAGTGCCAATATATATTATTTTATTAATCCTTTAATAGAATGATGATTATTATTTTATTCAGTTTATGCAGTAATAGGTTACTTTAAATGATAGACAATGATTTATAGAGTTACATTCCTATGTTATCATTAGTATACATTCGAAAAGGCGTTTGGCATGTAATCACTAGACTAACATGCCCCCCTGGGTTTGTAAAATTTTTTACATTTTTTGTGTCCTGATGGGTAGATTGTGCTGAATGAAAAATTTAAATAAATTTTGATATGATGATCAGATTTTTACCCAATAAAATGAAATCTTATTGATTTTTAAGTCAAAGTATAAGTTAAAAAAAAAAAGTTTGAACAGACTATATTGTAAGCGACGAAATGAGATATAATGACTTACTTTCTCTGAATCTTTTCCGAACTTTTTTTCCGACAGGCATAGTATTTTTATCTACAAGATAGGGAAGGGAGATGCGATTTGGGAAATCTAGTAAATGAGAAACTAAAAGTAGTTGGTTGGTTCATTTTTCCTGCTTATTTTATGGTTATACCAATAATGTGCACCAGTTTCAATACAATATTTTTTATTTGAAGAGTAAATTTTTGTTTTAAACTGCTTTTACATTTATTTTAAATTAAATGCATAATCACACCTATTTTTTTTCAATTCAAACTATCGGTTCAATAAGTCTGAGAAGAAGAAATCCACAAAAATATTGGCAATGTTGTTAACGTAAGCAAAATGTCAGTGGAACGTCAAAATCAAGCTAAAACACAGTTCTCACAGTCCTTGAAAGATTTTAGTAGTGGTTGTAAATTTAGGTTAATGCTAGAATATATTTTGTATTTTAATATACCATTTAATCGCTAAGTGGTTTAGCAAGCTGAAATTTTCATGCATACATACTTTCTTGGTAAAACAATTTTAAGTGGTTACACAGAAATTAAAACATCGACTATGTTTTATTTTTGTTACCACTTTTTAAAATTTTCAAGGCTCGCATGAGCCATGTAAAAGGAAACACGGAAATAAAAGATAAAATCATAACTTTTTTAAACTTCTGGCTCTAGAAAACGAGAATTTAAACACACCTTATATGAAATTATAAAAGTAAACAAATGAATTAGTTGAGAAAATAATGATTTTATAAAATACATTTCAGATTTAAAATTTAGGGCCAACACTAATTTTAAGTGCTACTAAAAATGTTAATTAATGAAAGTTGTTTATTGTTGACTTCATTTTTTATAATTGATAAAATCATGATACATTTTAATTAATTGATTAAATATATTATTGCCAAAACTCAGTATAACGAGATTCACTAGAACTGATAATAGGAAGAACAGACCAACAAAGGAATCCATTTTTATTCAACTCTTAACATAATTTGTGATGAACTGACACGGATAAGAATTATTATGCAGTTGAGTCTCTGTTTAATGGCACTCTACTTAACAATCATTTTCATAGTATCAGTTCTCGAAATTTAGTGAATGCTACAGGGATAATTTCTAAAATGAAGAAACACTTTCCTGACCTCTCCAAGAAAGTTTATGCAAAATTTAAATATTGCATAGAATGTTTATAGAACTAATAAAACTTACAGTTTGAGTTTTTGAACCAATAATGCAACATAAATGCATAAAATAAATCTGAAACAATTGTAATCATAATGATGAAACTATATTAATTTTATTACTTATAAATACTAGCTGTCTTAAATTTAAAAAAAAAGCAATTTTTATTTAAAAAGAGTTAAAAAAAAGATAACTTTTACTCAAATGAAACTTTTAATAAACAAATTCAATCTCCCTGAAATTTTGAACCAGTGTAAAAATAGACTGAATGTTCCAAGGATGACTATAGTTTTCCTGTGTAAAACACGTGGAATACATTCTTGGCGAAGAAAGTGGTGATTACTAAAAAAAATTTTTGGTCGAAATTTTTTATTCTGTAGCCACCCCGATCATTAAGTTTGCCCCATAAAAATCTCAGTTTAAAGGAAATTTGTTGTGGCTCTGGCTCTTTCATCGTAGAAAAATCTCGCTTCCAGTATGACTATGTCACTGTTTATGATGAATGAAATCTTTTAATGAGTAAAAAAATTTTATATTAAATTCGATTGTAATGGGGTTAAGAAAGACACAGATGTTCAGTTAGAAGAATTCTTCCACTGTAATGAAGATATTTTAACAAGGGATTTAAGAGATACAGAGGAAATCAGAAAAACATTATAAATGCACATGACAAAAAAGAAAGTTATTTTGAAATGTTGTAAAAAATGAGTCACTGCTGTCTTTTTAAACCAATAAATTATTGATTACCAATTAATTATTGACTTCAACCATGTTTATTGATATTTTAAAAATATAGAATTTATCTTCCAGATTGAAAGAGGGCTCCAATAAATGCTTGAAAAACTAATTAGGGAAAAAAGTTATAGTAAAACCACATTTAAAACAATATTTTTTTACAAGAAGGTTCACTAGGGCTTTTGTACAGTACAGAACCCGTTATCCGGAAATCAGAAAACCGGAAAACCAAAAAACCGGAACGAAATTCGATAAATTTTCCCGCCATTTTTAAAAAAAATTTTTTTTTTTCCTCATAAGATTTTAGGATTTTTC